CCCGGCGGAGGGCGGGGGAGCCCACCGAGCGCGTTTTCCGGAGCCACCCTCTCCTCAAAAGCACTGCCTTTCTGCAAAACTTCCCAGCCCTTCCCCTCAGAGGCCAATGGCAAAGCGAAAGCCCTGAGCCAGCCCGCTCTGCCCTCGTGTGCCGGGGAGGACGCTGGCTCGCGGCCCCGCCGGCGCGCTCCCCGGCGCCCCCCCCAGCAGGGAAGCCCCGGGCTGGGTTTTCACGCCTGCTGGTAGCCCACGAGCAGTGGCTGTTGGAGGCGGTGGTCACAGCTCTTACTGCTGAAGCAAGGTTTTGTATGTGGGTGGCTTTTAGACTTCAAAGTGCATAAAATGAAAGAAAACCGCTACCTGTAGACTTGTTTTGGAGTCGCTGGCCTACGAAAAGCTTGTAAATCATTGACAAGTTCTAAATGTAGTTTGCTGTGATAATAACTGGGGGTTTTTTGTCCAAATACAGGCCCTGATTATACAAATAAATGGGACTATCCCGAACCTGAATGGAACAAATATTTCATGTGACTATGGAAATAATATCCACACAGTAGCCAGAGTTGCTGGGGATTATGTAAACCAATTTATTTACTGCAGTTTACTTCCACGCGAGAAATATCCAGCGTTTCCAGACGACCAAGGTATGTAGAGGAGAACAAGCTCAGTTCGTTCTAACCACTTTTGTGGACATCATTTTTCATAGGCTTTTTTTCTTTTTCCAGTTGTGTGTGCAGATAATGCACACAGGGGAAAAAGACCCAAGCTGCTTCTGTTTTATAGAGCATACGACTTTAAAGCGTGGGAGTTCCACCATCTCAACATGAATTGACAGTGTTTCAAATCTATCAATTTTTGTTTTAAACATCAGAATTTGAAAGCCAGTTCATGTACTTATTTTATTAAGATTTATCTGGTTAGAGCTTCTGTTTTAGATTTAATAAGTACTAAAATGAAAATGTTTTAGCCCTGGGGAAATAGCGTTGCTACTTGTATTGATATTTTCAATTGCTTTTGTTAAAATTCCCTCCCGAACATGCGCTGCCTTTCAGGAGAGGCTCTGGAAGAAGAGCAAGTGCATACCTAAAGGCAGCTCGGAGCCTCTTAATCCCATTTATGCAATCAAGAGCCAGGCTGAGGCTGGTGTCCCCCCGTTTTCGGATGGCCCCGAAGGGGATGCCCGCCTTGAGGCTCCGTGGAGCTACCTTCTGGAGGGAGAGGACGAGCAGCTGCAGATCTGGCTGAATTCAACTGAGCCGTGGCGGCCGAGTTGTCTGGATCTGGTACTGGCCACGTAGCAAGGAGACAGCCCCATTTTATAACTCCTTCTGCAAAGTTGGGTGCTTCATTCCAGACTTGAGTGCTTCTTAAATCTTCGTCTTTCAAGCCTGGGGTGAATGCGCTATTGAAGATGGCTGACTTCAGTAAGGAGAAGTATTAGCCAGTCCTTTTGAAAATCCCACTTTTCATAGCAAGTTTATAAAGCTGCATTGTTTTTCTCCCTGGCTATCCAAAAAATGGGAGATCATTAACTGTTCTGTATTGTTGGTTACGGCAATGTCCAAATGAATTTCTGGAATCCAACACGCTGATTTATTGTACATATTCTGAAAGAGGCATTGTCTCTTGTCCCTGGTGCTTATATGGCAAAATTGCAAAGAAAAAAAAATTAAGCAATTTTGGGGGGAGGGGGAGTTAGCGTAGCATGTTAAGTGGCCAAAAAAGGGATTTCCACTTTTCTCTGTGGGTTTGTTGTCATGGGGAAAGCGAGCGGGGTTTTAAAACATGATAACTAACACGTTTTAATTACCACATTTTTTAAAAAAATATCATTTAACACCAACTGTAAGCAAAGACAATAATTAACTCTCTCAATTAACACTTGCACAACATGCTGGAATTTTCTGCTGAAAGTCGCAATGTTCTTTTCTGGTGAGGGTGATGTAAAGTGTTGATTTAAGAGGGAAGAGCTGAAAGTCAGAGGGCAAAAGATGAACGGTCCAAGCTCTGAAATGCAGCTTGGAGGAAGCCCTAGAGGAAACAAATCAGATTTAGTCCTTATTTTCCCAAGGGTCTGTCTTGTCTCGTAAGCGTGAGCGCAAGCGAGAGGCTCTTGCAACCCAATATTCTTTGGCTTGGTTCTCTCAGACCACGTGGTCGTCGAAACTGCTCTCCGGGTCAACAGCAAAAACATTATCCGGGCCAATTTCACCATCTACGATTGCAAAAGAACTGGGAACATTTACCCGAAGAGAGCGTAAGTGACCCCGGTGTCGGGGTGCGGGCGGCACCACGGTGGCGGCGGCGCTGGGGCGATGG